TCTATAATGCACGCTATCAGCAGGTACTTACCTATAATGCACGCTATCAGCAGGAATAAAAGGCGCATGTTATCAAAACTTCGTCATAATAAAATAATAATTATATAGCAACACGATATCTGGCGATAATGTTAATAGTAACAAATGCGAAAGTGTTGACGCATCGTTCTGCGTAAAATTTAATCTGTGAACACTTTTTGTCAGCAAACATGTCAGATTACGTCCTAATAAATAAACGACGAATTTTATTTCTATTAATTTTAAGACCTTAATATGTTTTTAATTATGTCGCGTTTATATAAAAACAATTTGCACTATATATTTTGTCATTGCAATAAAATTTAATAAAGGTAATCATTCAGTAACTATTGTACATATCAAATACATGCTTTGATATTTATCCAAAGATATTGAATGTTCGATACGATAAAATTTTTCCTAGCGTTTTAGAATCAAGAAGATCGAGTGGTCTCCATCGCAACACGAAACGTACTTCTGTCTGAATACAATCAATTCCTTTGTATTTAAAATTTGCTCCAGATAACAATAACTGAATTTGCTGACCGAAAGCTAGGTAGTAATTCATCGATCGAAATATCTGGTCAATCATATCAACTTGAGATTGAGTCATTAACAGAGTCTTCGTGATTGGGAAAGTTTAGAAAACGAAGTCTTCGATCGAGAAAATTTAGCTTGCGATGTCTTCGATATAGTTTCAAATCTATGTAAACTATTTCAAATTTCAATGACTTTCTTTTGTTCGTGATTATTGCTTACTGTTCTATTCTTAATTATGGTTGCTTAATTATTTTCAAGTTTTTCTTACTATTTTCGTCTCACGTTATTACCCGAGTCGAAATTTAGCGTCTCTTTTAATGCTCATACAGCCTATATGAACCTATTTTTACGGAATTAGAACCTAGAACTCCTCTTTTAAAACTTGATCTCCTATAATTTGATGTTGAAATACTACTTTAAACCTATAGAGCCTCACAAAATAGATTGTATTACTGCGAGAACTCCTCCATTAAACCTCGAACTTTTATCTAGTATATATATATATACTAGATAAATTCGACCTATAAAAGTTATTATAATGTTTAATTATAAAGAAAAATATTTAATTCGTTGCATTTCCAACTTTTATTAATATTGATACCTTTCCGTTTCCTTCTTCAAAATAGTGATATGATATCTGAAAAA